TTTCTTTGTTGTTTTGAGACAGGGTCTTGCAAGGAAGTTGAGGTTGACCTTGAGCTTGTAATCCTTTTGCTTCAAGCCTCCTGAGTGCTGGGATTACAGGTGTGTACCACCATACCTAGCTATGTTACATTTTTCTTTTAGTTGTGCCATCTGTTTTTATTTTGTTTTTTAGTCTTTGTTCTTCTGTTTCAGAGGTGTTTTTTGCCATATCGGTTAGTGTAGAGGTTTTTCTTAACTGTGTGCAGTCTACTAATAAGCCCATTGGAGGCAGTCATTTCTGTTACACTGTTTTTGATAAATATAAAATTTAATTAGATTTTCATTCCTCTGCTTACATTGCTTATCAGTTCTTGTGTGCTGTCTACTTTACTCATTACAGTCCTTAGTATACTAATTAGTGTTGTTTTAAATTTCCAGTCTGACAATTCCAACATACATACTATGTCTAGTTTTGATATAATTTTCTCTCTTCTTTTTTTTCGGAGACAAGGTCTCACTTTATAGCTCAGGCTGGCCTCGAACTTGCAGTCCTCATGCGTCAGCTCCCCAAGAACTGCGATTATAGATGTGTGCCACCACACCTGCCTTGTAAGTTTTTCTTTATAGCTGAATATGATGTACTGTATAAAAGTAACTAAAATAGGCCTTTAGTAAAGTAGTGGAAAGGTGTGGGGAGAGGGGACTCATGTTATGGTTCTGTGATTAAGTCTCAGTGTTGTAGTGCCTCTGTAAGCTTCACAAGTACTTTTGAATTCCCCACCTCCCTGCCCACCTCCACCTCTTAGTTCTGAATGGTTAGAGTGGACTAGAGTTTGGTATTTCTTTTCTTCCACATAGAAGGTCAAAGATACCAACAGTTGGGCATTTCCCTTTCCCCAGGTCAGTCAAGCTCCAATAAACCACAGGTTAGGCTGTGATTATATAATTCGTCCTGAGGATGAACCTTGTTAAGAAGAAAAAGTGAGCTGAGTGGTGGCATACACCTGTAATCCCAGTACTTAGGAGGCTAAGGCAGGTGGATGTGGAGTTTGAGGGCAGTCTAGCTATGTAGTAAGACCCTTTCTTTAAAAAAAAAAAAAAAAAAGGCATAGTTTTTTCCTTCTGTTGGAAGCATAGGGGAATTTCCCCCCGATATTTGCTGTAAGTACTTGGTTGGAATACTGTAAACAAAACACAACAAAAGTGTTGGAGAAGGCCCTCCAATGACTAAGTACCCTTAGAAATTTTAACTCTCAGACTTATCCATACCTAACCTCCAGCAGTTCATCAATTACAGTTCCGATTTCCCTACCCTGGCACCTGTTCTTCTGGAGGTTTCTGCTCTGTTTTGTTTTGATACTCTTTATAGTAGACCTTTGGTATCTACTGGTATATGGTTCCAAAGAGATCACAATCAAGGAAGGAACAACTACAATATTTAGGATGCATAGAGTTCAGTACTCTAAAATTACTCAAATTTATGTTTAACATACATTCAGAAGGCATGAGCAGCCATTACTTGAAACCACATGAAGTAGGCTATATTACTATTGCTTATGTTGATACTGCTCACCAAAACTAGATTTTATTTCATGTTCTTTATCTTGAATACTGCAGATGCTGGATTTTTTCCCCCATACCACTGCCCAACTTCCTGCTAAAGCCATACCACCTTTCAGCAAATCTAAAATTTTCACTTTGTCACTTCAATTAAGCACATTCACTTTATCTTACTTTATAGGACACCATTTGCTTTTGGGGAGGCAGATTTTCACAAAATTAAGGACAGGGAAACACTCAGCAGATCACACAGTGATTTAAACACAACTGACGATAATAGGAGACTGACTGAGAGCTTCTCCCTATCAACTAAGCTAGAGAACGCGCATGTGGGAATTTAAAACTTGTTTTTAAAAAAAATTTATTCATTTTTTGACCATGCTTGGTCAAAACCGCATGTAATAAATCCATGGATAAGATGGGCTTACCATATCTTCTTTTCTGTCTTTCTAATTTTGGGGCAATAATTTGCCTTGTGACCTTACTTCTCTGCTTAGAAGAGCTGTGGGGTTTTTAGTTTGTTCAGCTTTTTCACTTGTCAGGACAGAGTGGCAGAACTGGAAACCAGAAGTCCCTTCTAACTTTTTGTTATGAAAAAATTCAAACATATACACAATACAGAGAATTATATAATGAATATTCATATACCCGAAACTCTACCTTAGCAAGCATCAGCATTTGACCAATCTTGTATTTGTATTGTATCTCTTCAACTCATTTTCCCACCTGATGGAGTATTTTGAAAGATATTGGTTATATCATCTGTAAATACTTCAAGATATATTTTTAACAGATGAGGACTTGTTTGCTTTTTAATGAAAATCTTTATTTAATAGATAAATAGTCTTTGTTTTATAGGTTGTGTCCCTGGCTAGTTAGGGATTCCATAGAGTAGGGATGAGGTTGTTTGGAAAAGTATCAAAATTTGGCAGATATTACTTTGCTTATGAAAGCTTAGTTGATGTTGATGATTTTATGAATCCATTAAAATCCTATTTATTGGAATGTAGAGGATGGAGGAAATGGAATAAAAACAGAGGTTTTTTTGTTAATCATTAGGGAAATTTGGAGGATCATATTGTTTAAAGTGTGAAATAATAGACTATAGAATCTCCTCAGTTTTGATAGTTTTGATAATGAATTATATATGCCCAGTAGTGTAGAGGAGGATCATATGGTAGTTCTGTTTTTTGAGGAACCTCCATCTTGGTTTCCATAGCGGCCACACTAATTTACATTCCCACCAACAGTCTATATGGGTTCCTTTCCCGCACCCCTACCCCCACATCCTCACTGTCATTTATTGTTGAGGGGTGAGGTGGATCTCTTGTAGTTTTGATTTGCATTTCTTTTATGGCTAAGGATGTTGCACATTTCTTCATTTACTTATTGGCTGTTTGTACTTCTTTTGAGAACTGTCTTCAATTCATTTGCCTATTTATTAATTGAATTATTTGTTGTTCTGATATTTAGTTTTTGGAGCTCTTAATGTATTTTGATCTTAATCCTTTATCTGACAAATAACCTGCAGAGACTTTCTCCCATTCTGTAGGTTGTCTCTCTCTCTTTTATTTTTTTTTCCCCTCCATGGGTGTCATATGGTAGGTTGTTTCTTGATTCTGGTAGTTGTTTCCTTTGAGGTACAGAAACTTTTTAATCTGATGCAATCCATTTGTCAATTCTTGCTCTCATTTCCTGAGCAATTGGAGTCCTAGTTAGAAAGGCCTCACCTATGCCTATATTTTAAGGGTTTTCCCACAGTAGTGTCAAAGTTTGAGGAGATCATTGATCCATTTTGAATTTTGTATGGGATGAGAGGGGGATATCCAGTTTTCCCAACACCATTTTGTTGAAAAGGCTGTCATTTCTCCAATGTATGTTTTTGGTGCCTTTGTCAAAAATCTGATGGCTGTAGCTGTGCGGACTTATTTCTGGAACTTCTATTCCTTTGATGTGTTTCTGTTTTGTACTAGTAACATCTGTTTTTATTAGTGTGACTTTGTAGTATAATTTGAAATTTGGTATTATGTATCTAATATCCAATTCATGAATAAGGTCTCCTTTCACTTTTAACAAGCCTTTTAAAGAGTGTGTTTATAAAAAATTTGAAAATCATCTGGACATGGTGACACAGGTAATCCTGCACTGGGAAGACTGAGATGGGAGAATTGTGATAATTGGTTTTTTTTATTCATTATTTATTTACTTATTTTTGTGGTATTGGGGTTTTGAATGTAAGACTTTGCACTTGCTAGGCAGGTGCTCTACTGCTTGAGCCATGCTTCCAGCCCTAAATTGGTGTTATTTTGTTTTGTTTTTGGTGGCACTGGGGTTTGAACTCAGGACTTCACATTTGCTAGACAGGCACTGTGCTGCTTAAGCCACACCTTCATCAGAATCATGAGTTTGAGGCCAGCCTTGGCTACATACTGAGACCTTGTCTTAGTAAAAAGCAAAAAAATGAAAAACTCAGACATATCAGAAGAATAATGTGAAAAATAAATGTACTTTCTCTCAGCCCCTCACTTCCCTTCTCCAAAGCTTGCTATTACTGGTTTCTTGTGGGGTTTTTTTTTCCCTCTAGAAATCTTCTGTTTATATCAGAATCATATCTATGTATCACTACATAAAATCATATATATAAAATACATAATTATGTGTATATATGTATTTAATCTCCCCCTTCCATACTATGTATGCTGCTCTGCAATTTGATATGATTCCTTAGCTTTAATCCGTAAGACTAATTTTCTATCCACCATGATGTTCTGCAACAACAGGGATCCTTTAAACATACTGATGAGATACGTCATTCTCCAACCTTTCTAAGATAATTTAAGGCCTTCCCTTTTTCAGGTAAAGCCCACACACCTTAACATGGTGTACAAGGCACTGAGAACAGTCCCTGCTGTGTGTCTCCTGCCTCTTGTCTTGAAATTGTTAGGCTTATACTGAGCATGCCATGCTGGTCGTCCTCACTTTTAAACATTTTCTTAAAGTTTGAAACCTCTTGCCTGTCAACTCCTTCCTCTGTCATACACTTTGGATAACTCCTGCTATAGTTTCATCTTTAGAAAATGTATAATATGCAGACTGGCAGAATGACTCAAGTGGCAGAGCACATGGCTAGCAAGAATGAGGCCTGGAGTTCAAACTCCAGTATCACTAAAAAAAAAAAAAAGTATAATATGTAATAATCCTAGCATTTATAAAAATTCCTATGTAAAACCATTCAAGGAAATAAAGTAGTTGACAACTTCACTGTTTTCATAAACATACAATGTCCAAAAGATACATGAGTTTAAAAAATGTGATCCTACTTGCTTTGTTTTTTAAAAAATCAAAGTATACAAGTAGTTTAATAATTTCTACAAAGCTTATTATGAACAACAATAGTCCAGGTTCTGGTTCCAGATAAGATGGAGTAAGCACACTTCACCTGTCTCTCCCACTGAATGCAGCTATAATACCTGGACACAATGCTTGGAGTGGCTATTTGAGGACTCTGAAAAGTAAATAGTAGGAGGCAGATTGGGGAAGAAGACCAGAATTCAAAGTACCACTGAACCAGCGGTGAGTTTAACTTTTTTTTTTTTCTTCCAGTATGCCCCAGCCTAAACTTAATGTATCCTGAAACTTGGAAGTGGGCATTAACATGGACAGAAAAACCACCAGGAGAAGTCCTCTAATTCTGACTCAAGGACAGGAAAGGGTTTTCTTGTACTCAGAAAGTGTGGACATCCACATCTTTCTTTTTTCTTATTCTTTTGTATTTTCTTCATTCTTTTGTATCCAAGCCTCAAGCAATCCTTGGGAGTAGTTGCAATGGTCTCAATGGGGGTAGACAGGAACCTAAAACTCAGAGGGAAGGGACTCTTCCTCTCAAATTGGAGTAACTGTGGTCTGAAAAGAGTGGGACAAATCTCCATTGCTTTTCTTCTCCCTTTGCCTTTTTGTCTTGTCCCTCATTTGAGTACAGGGAAGTATATTGCAGTATGGGGTTGATAAAGCCCTGGCTTTCTGCTAAATGGCTAGAAAAGGGGAGCCTGGAGAACTGAATGCTTGCAGAAGAGAGAGGAGCTTGGGAAATTAAATTGTTTATGGACTGCTGAACTGACTTCCATGCTGTGCATGCGTGAGTCTAATCCTAAATAGAATACATAGACACTGAAAATTGAATTGTAGGATGGACCGCTGCCCACATCCCAGACTGGATTCTTTGTGGGGCACTATGGAACACATTCAGTATGACTTCAAAGACTTTGAAAACTGAACTGCCATGAGATGTACAACCCACAGAAGACAGTTCAGTTCTTGAAGCATGAACTCAACTGGGCCAATTACTGAATGAAACAAAAATACCAACATTCTTGGTGGGACTTAAATAAGACCTAGAATCTCATAATATTCAGAATGTCCAGAATATAAAAGCACTCAGCTGAAAAAGAAACAGAAAAGTCTGAATTCACACAGAAAAAGAAAATTGATACCAAGCCAACATCACACAAATGTTAGATTTATTTTAAAAAAACAAAAACAAAACAAAAGTGAGTATGTCAGCCAGGCACCATTGACTCACACCTGTAATCTTAGCTACTCTGGAGGCAGAGATCAGGAGGATCACAGTTCAAAGCCAGCCTGTGCAAATAGTTTGTAAGACCTTATCTCAAAAATACTCAACTCAAAAAGAGACTGGCAGAGTGGCTCAAGTGGTAAAGAGCCTGCCTAACAAACATAAAGACCTGAGTTCAAATCCTACAAAAAAAAAAACCAGACTACATCAGCTGTTATGATTGTGTTCCAGAAATGCATGGAAAGAAAGTCTTAGCAAAGAAACAAAAGATGTAAAGAAGAACTCAATGAAATTTTTAGAAATTAGACATCTTTAAATTTAGAAATATGATACTGGAAATGAAAGTTTCCCGTGGATGGTCTCTGTAACAGAATGGATATGACAGATGAAAAAATCAGCAAGAATATTGTCAAAGGCTTTTTTCTCCATCTATCGAGGTGATCATGTGATTTTTGTCTTTTGTTGTGTTTATGTGTTGTGTTATGCTTATAGATTTACATATGTTGAATCATCTTTGCATCCCTGAATAAACCAATGTAGTCATGTTGTAAAAAAAAAAAAAGTCAGCAAATTTGAAAACATAGAATAGAAATTACGTAATTTGAACAACAGAGAAAAATGATTTAAAAAATAAACAGAGCCTCTTGCACCTATGAGACAATATCAGAAGACTTAACATTTGTATCTTCAGAGAATCAGAACAAGGAAAGTATGAGTTTGGTGCAACAACAAAATACGAAGAAGTAATGGCATACTATTGAAAAAGAGAAAATAAAACTGTTCCTATTTGTTCACAGAGAAAATCTCAATCCAAGAAAAGTCCTAGAATAAATAATGTAGCAAATAATGCAGGGTTAAACAAACCACATAAAGCAGTCAGGTTTGTATATACAATTGAAAACTCCAAAAAAACTGAAATATTTATGTGTAAATGTAACAAATATATACAGGATCTCTTTGCTGAAAACTACAAAGCCCGATTAAAGAAATCAAAGAAGATTTAAGCAAATGGAAAAATGTACCATATTAATGGAAAGGAAGAGTCACTATAGCAAGAATTTTGATATATAGATTTAACGCAATAATAACAATAAAAATCCCAGCAGCATTTGCTTGTAGTTATAAAGAAGCTGATTCTAAAATTTCTATAGAAAGACAAAGACCTAGAATAACCAAAACAATTTTGGAAAAGAAAAATGTTGGTGCCAGATGCTGGTGGCTCGCACCTATGATCCTAGCTACTCAGTAGGCAGAGATCAGAAAGATCGTGGTTTGAAGCCAGTCCAGGCAAATAGTTCACAAGACCCTATCTCGAAAAACCTCATCTTAAAAAAGGGCTGGTAGAGTGGCTGACGTTGTAGACCCTGAGTTCAAACCCCAGTACCACAAAAAAAAAAAAAAAAAAGAAAAGAAAAATGTTGGAAAAAAATCAAACTACAGAGTGTAGATTTTAAGTGTTCTCAACAACAAAAAAAGTATGCAAGGTAATGCATATGTTATTAGCTTGATTGAAGCATTCCACAATGTATTTATGTTTGAACGCATTATGTTTATATGATAAACACATAAATTTCTGTCAATTTAAAAAATAAGCCAAAAAAGAGAAGAAAATTGCAAGATTTAAAAACTTAATACAAAGGTATTTTAATCAACACTGTAGTATTAGCAAAGGGATTGACATATAGATCAATGAAATAGAATAGAGATTTCTGAAATAGACCCACACAGGGTTTAGGGGAGGGGACTTGATGGTACAGAACTTGTATAGCATGTGTGAAGCCCTGAGTTTGAGCCTTATGATCCTCAAAAAAGAAAAAAGATAAATTCACAGAAATATAATCAATAAGATTTTTTTGTTGCTGTTTTTGTTTTATTTTGTTTTGAAACAGGGTGTCACTCTAGCCTGGGCTGGCCTTGAACTTGTGATCCTCCTGTCTCAACCTCCTGAGCCCTGGTATTACAGGTATGAACCACCATGCTCAGTGCCAATACTTTTTTGTTTTTAAACAAAGCTGCAATGGAAATCCAATGGAAAAGGAATTGTCTTTTTAATAAATGCTGTTAGACATCCATATACAAAAATAATGAACCTTGGCCTAAACCATACACATTACACAAAAATTAAGATGCGTCACATGCACACATCTAGATGTGAGCTATGAAACTGCCAAACTTACAGAAGAAAACAGAGGAGAAACTCTCTGTGATCTGGCTTTGGCAAGAAGTTCATTGGATGACACCAAAAGCATGATTCCTAAGGAAAAAAATGATGAATGAACTTCATTAAGTTAAAAAGCTTGCTTCTGAAAGACACCATTAAGAGAGCACAGCAATCAGGAGGCTGAGGTAGTAGAGTTACAAGCTTGAGGCCAGCCTGGGATACATAAGGGAGGTTCTGGCTCAAAAAAAACCCAAAACCAAAAAAGAATGAAAGGGGAGGTTGCAGATTGGGAAAAAAAATTTGCAAATTGTATGTCAGTAAAGGACTGATATTGTGAATATGTAAGGCACTCTGAAAATATAATGGTGAGAAAACAAATAATAATGAAAAAATTTAATAGGCTTCATCAGGTATTTCTAAGGAGTATATAGGGTGGCAAACCAACTTGTGAAAACATATTTACCACAACTAAACATGAGGAGGATGGAAAGTGAGATACCATTGCACATCATTAGAATGCTAAATTAGAACTATCAACCATACCAAGTACTCTTGAGAATGTATAGCAGCTGGAACCCTCACATAATATAGTTAACATACCACATGTTAAATTTGGACTTACCATATGACCCATCAGTCCCACACCTAGGCAGTTATCCTAGGGGAATGAAATTTTATGTTCATATAAACACATGTACATGAATATTACATTGGCTTTTTCTTTTGAGACAGGGTTTCAGTATATAGCTGAGCCTGATATCCAACTTCACTATGTAACCTAAGTTGGCCTTGAACTCTTGATCCTCCTGCCTCAGCTTCCAAATGTGAGATTATAGGGATGCACTACCACACCTGGTTAGCTTTATTCTTACTTGCCAAAAAGGTCCTGCAAAGAGTGAATGTATAAATAGTGCCATAGCCACACAGTGGACTACTACTCAGTAGTACAAAAGAATAAACAATTGATACACATTACAACTTGGATAAATCTGGAAACTTTATGCTGAGTAAAAGAAACTAGTCTCAAAAGGTTTCATAATTTATAATTACATTTACATTACATTTTCAAGAGGAAAAATTATAGGAACAATTTTTTTTTTATTTGGCAGTAATAGTACTTGAACTTAGGGCCTCACACTTGCAAGGCGGGCACTCTACCACTTGAGCCACTCCACCAGCCCTGTTGTAGTGGCATGTGCCTGTCATCCTAGCTATGAGGGATGCATAAATAGGAAGATCATGGTCCAGAGCAGCATGAATATAAAGTCAAAAATAACCAAAGCAAAAAGGACTGGGGGTGTCGCTTAGGTGCCTAGCAAGCATGTAGCCCTGAGTTCAACCCCCAAGTACTGCCTAAAAAAAAAAAAAAGGTGGGTAACTATAATCAAAGATAATCAAAGTACTTTCAATGTGTGTATAGAAATATCACAATGAAACCCCTTTGTACAACAGACACCTTTTTTAAAATACAGAGGGGAAAAAACTTGGTTGAATATAGAATTCTGGATTGAAAATAATTTTACTTCAAAAATTGGCCTTCAAATTTTGTTGAAGTTGAGAAGTGCAGTTCTATTATGGCTCTTGTTACCTTGACATTTTATAAGTTCTTTTTTTTTTTTGTCAATGTTCTGCAGTTTCATGATGATACACTTTAGTATGTATATATTTTCATCTAATGTGCCAGGATATGTCCCTTATTGAAACTGAAGTTTTGAAGGATCTTCTTGGAAAGCTTTTTCAATTTATGTTTTGGTGATTTCTACTTTTCTGTTTTCTTTGTCTTCTTTCTTGGAATGCCTGTTGTGCAGATGTTGGGCATCTTAGAGTAGCCCCTTAATTCTTTATCTTTTTTTTTTCCTATTTTTACATATTCATTCACATATTTTTTGTGATAAGTATAATTTTGAAATAGAGAAGTTGATGAAATCACACGTATGATTTTTTCATTCTACCCACAAAAGCCTGGTAGTTTATTAAAGAAGAAGAATAAAACAAAACACTTTGAGTCAGGGTCAAACGTTACCCAGGCTGGCCTTGAACTCCTGGTTCACACAATCATCCTGCCTCAGCCTCCAGAGTACCTAGGACTACAGGCATCTACCACTGTGGTTTGGTAGCCTACTAGTTTTAAATTGACCTTTGGGACAGGACAGAGACACTTTAAAAGATGCAATTCCCTGTGATGGTTACTTAGAGTGTAGAGTTTGGATGTTTCCTTCTGCTTTTGGCTCCTGGTGAGCCTCTTGAATTTAGAGCGTTATTAGAGAGCCAGTGGGGTTTTTGTTTCCCAGATCCCATGGCTGAATTATTCTTCCCAGATACTTGGTTTAGAGGATACCATTCCTTCTTTTTGTGTCAATATTTTAGCAGTTAATGCAGTCAGATCCTGTGGTTCAGTGAAGCTTTCTAATCTAACCTGTCGATTTCTCTGTAATGCTTATACTTTGTTAAGAGCTGCCATTTCATCTTATACTGAAGGGTTGTTATTAGGGCATTGTTGTTTTTTTGTTTGTTTGTTTTGTTTTTGTTTCTTTGGTGGGGAGTGGGAAACATGAAAAGTAAAGGGTACGTGGGTAAGGAAACTAAGACTGGTTTCAGTGCTTCCTTAGCGTTCTAGCAGTCTAGCTTTGGAAAATTATAGTATTAGCTATTTTTTAACTGACTTAGAATTTATTTTTTAAGTCATGGAGCGCTCCCATTTTTGAGTTTGAAATGCTTTTTTTTTTCTTTGTCTTTTTGAGACAAGATCTCACTTTGTAGGTAGGCTAGCCTAAAATTCTTAATCCTCCTGATTTAAACTCCCAAACGTTGGGATTATAGGTATGTACCACCATACCCAGTTATAAGGGATTTTAACTCAGCTTTTCACTTTACTTCTGAATGGGCTTTTTA